CTGCTACTACCACTACTGCGACTACTACTACTGCTACTACTACTACTACTACTACCACTACTACTGCTACTACTACTACTACTACTGCTGCTACTACCACTACTACTACCACCCCTATTTCTTACTACTTAGCGCTTACGATGTACTATCTACTGCTTACTACAACTACAACTACAACTACAACTACAACTACTACTACTACTACTACTACTACTACTACTGTTCCTCCTGTTCCTCCTGCTGCTGCTCCTGCTCCTGCTCCTGCTCCTTCTCCTGCTGCTGCTGCTACTGCTACCTCCACAAACAGAGTCGTTTTGGTTATGACATTGATGGTAGTCACAGTCAGGCGAGGATGTTTATTATGTTATGTTCACGACCACCAATGGAAACTTGCGATGATGACGGCGACATTGACGACGGTTCTTCGAGATCGGGCTGATTCCAAAAAGCAAAGCAGCATGCATGTCAAGATTGCGCGGACGCGTTCTGCATGTCGGCAGCGCCTTCAGATTCTGTATGTAGGCTTGCTGTCTGATTTCTCGGCTTGAGGACAATCACCTTGAGGAGAGCATTGTGCTGGCGTGCCTGCAGGCTTGCTTTGCCCAGTGTTCATGTTTGGCATCTGAGTATGTAAGTCTCCCTGTAGCTGTTGATGTTGCCATCATCTTTGAGTCGTTGTATCTGATGATGCACCTTTCTCTACATGCACGATTCACAGATGATCCACAGCTTGAAACGGGACGGCTGAGCTTGAAGCAGGGTTCGGCTGCGCATCCGATATTCCTGCATATTGAGAGATTCCGGTACTCTAAGGTGCCCAAAGCCTTAATAGACGTGGGGAGGGATATGCTTGATTGCAATTCTTCTAATATCCCGAAGGCCCCAATCTCTTCAGTTTGTCCCCTGCGTTAAACTTTCAGAGCCTTGGAGACCACGACGTGGCCCGTCTTCTACGACCCCGACGCCCTGGCAGTGCCCTTCCTGACCAAGTGCTTCCCAGGCAGAGCCTTCGATTTTTGCGAGTTTTGAGTGGTTTGGAGCCGCAGGGCGAACAGTTCAGTCTTGTGTGGAGGGTACTCACCAGTTTGCTTGGGTATAGCGTTTACTCCTAAATCTAGAAAAGGGCATCTCGTTGGTGTTGCAGTCCTGACAGCTCCCAAGCAACGTCAACGTCAAGCTTGCCGACGCAGAGAATTTTGGGGTGATCTTAGTGTCCTTCGGAATTCGATCGTAAAGATGTAAGACGTCTGGGGTGGGAGGAGATCCGGGAGGGGGCTGTTCTCACAGTCAGGGCTCGACCCGATCCGGGTGATGCTTACAATGTATAGTTCGCTCTGCTGCTTTGGGAGACTTCCAAACCGGATACTGTACTCTCCCAGAAGGTCTCGAAACCCAGAAGCCGGAACCTGTGCTGCAAGGCTCTCCGATTACAAGGGTTGCCAGGTTGCATTCGAGCCCCGACCTTGCACTGCAAGTGACCCTGCAGTCTGTGGCACAGCTCTGAAACTCTCAACATAAGGCCCCGGCCCTGAAACTCGAGAAGCTGAGAGATCGCAGGCTCGCATCGGCTCTCCATGGGTTCCGCAGACTTCCAGAAGGACGGGCACCGAGTGGGCTTTCGGCCAGCAGCGATCAATGCCGAAACATCTGCCCTTTGCAACTCGCCTTTAGCACATCTGAATGCAAGCGATCAGGGAACACTATCCAAGAGTGCCACTGCTCCGTCATGTGCAAAAAGGGACTAGACCCGTTTGCCTCTACCCATGGTACTGTAGCTGACAGACCCTGTGCATCAGTATTCCGCACGCCAAACCCGCTCATGTCGAGAACATTCTGCGCAGATTTGATACCGTCGTGTCCTGAAGACAGCCGATGTGGTAAGCGTGGGCCAGTCTTCAGGGTCGAAAATCTGATTGAGTGTGCATGCTCTTGCCGTGCTCTTCGCATCCGCGGAGGGCCAGTCTTCGTAGGAGATGCTTTCGGCCCTCCAGCGCAGCGGTACGGGAGGCCGCCATCGTGGGTAGGACTTCAGGCCTTGTTTTTCGAGCTTCCCGGCTCAAAGTCTTCGTCTTCAGGATATCGTGGATTTAGACGTCCCGAACAAGAAGCCGCGCGTGCATCCCCAACTGATCCCAGCTTCAATTTAGGTGATGTATGTGCCATCCAAAGGAGCGCAAAGAGCTCACAACCTAGAACCTACTGCTCGATCGATCGGGTAGGGGGGTACAGACTGGACGGGGTTTTCCCTGCGGCGCTTGCACCGGTTGATCCGCTCCAGATAATTGGAACGGACGCATGGGATCGGAACCAGTGACTGTAATGTGCCCGTGATGTCCACTGATTGACAATTTGCTTAGGTTTTCCATTGTGAAGAGGCGCAGCTTACGTCCTCTGGCTGTACGTCGTACATCCTTTCAGAATTGGTATCACAAGCGGTCACCGCTCATAGCTGCAGGAAGAGCATGGAGCTAAACGACCGCAGCAGGCTTCACAACTTCTGTTGTATAGGGCTGTCTATCACCACTCACCACCAGTCAGTCCACTCAACGCGGTGTGTCTGGCTTCGCTAGTTTTGTGTGCAGCTTCACCGTTTCACAACTCTTTCGGTGTGTTCAATGGCCCAGGCTGTGTTTGCATTGCGAACAGCAGGTTAACGTGTGCAGAGCTGAAGTTAGGTAGGACGGCTTCGTGCCAAAAGCAGGCTTCTCTCTCCTAAATGCAGGAGATGCTGCTGATGATGTTGCTGCGCATGCCCTTGCCTCAGCCAAGCCACACACGTGCCGAATCCTGAAAAAATCGCGAATGCCTCTGATGTGAGAGGAACTTCGCACCCATGGGATCAAGCTGAGCTATGTTGAGGCTTTTCGCAGCATGCCGAGGTGCTGATCATCGAGAATGCCTACCTGCCCGCAATCCGGGAAATGGACCTTCTCAATGAATTGATGCCTGTCTGCATCCGGCGATATTCCGTGCAGAGAGAGAGAGAGGTGAGTGCGCGAGTGAGTGAGAGTGAGAGTAAGAGTGACACTGAGTGAGAGAGCAGAGTTGACTGAACAGATGCGTACCTGACTCTGCTGAGAGACTTGATCTGAAGGTCCCAAGCATGTTGTCTTCGTTTGGCCATGTGGCCCCCGTGGGACCCATACATATACCTTGTGCACTCTGGTTCGCAACAGTGCGCAGTGTTTCGAAGCAAACAAGGCTGAGTCGCCGGCAGCTACGGGCAGCAGGGCTTCTCTCAAAAGGTGCTCGAGAGTGGGAGGGTTTTCGTTGGCTTTGGCTGGGGTTCTGAGTCTGCAGTAGGGGGTAGGGTCTTGACCTTCAAGCTTCCACAGTTACCTCCACTCACAGCCACTGCAACTCGACTGGAAGGTTTGCACTCAACTTAACTGTCCCCCATCTGCAAACGAGGCATTCCCTGCCCGATCTTCTGCCAAGACCTCCGAGACCTATGCATGTATGTCGTCGGTCTAACTAAGGAAGCCCGGCGTACAGCAACCGGATCATGGATTAGGGCGTCCCACAGTATGACTATTACTCATGCTTGTGCAAAGCATTACATACTACGATGTCGCGGCGATATAGTATAGACTTCAACTATATTGCCGGATGCTCCACATGCTTCTGTTATTGTCTTAAACACGACCTGTTCCGACAAACAGTATTCGAGAGTGACCAGACCACTGAAGTCTCAGGCGCATCTATTGCCCTAACACAGACCGGCGTTGAGGATGCTGCTGTGGGCTGCACGCATCGATGGGGCTTGGGAATTTTCCGTGATTTGATTGAGAGTCTGTGGCAGTCTGTGGAGGTCAATGTTCTGAAGGTAGTGCATTTTCACCAAAACTGCTCTGATTTTTTCAAGTTCTGATTCTTTACGGCACCGGAAAGACGCCCAAGGACTGAAGCCTTTGAGGGGCCAAAACTTAAATTGGGGGAGACCTTCGAGGTCTTTGTTTAGAGGTTGAGTGCATATAATCTGCGCAAGGTGAAGTGAAGCTTGGGAGGTATGTTTTCTTCCGGGAGCGGTCTTATTGCCGCTCTTGCCAGTACCACGGCGCTTTGCCGATCAGTATGATCGCACACATTGACCTTGTTGCTTGGTCTCTAGCCTTCTCATTCTACTGGAAGCACATCGACTACTCGGGTTGGGTGCTTCACCAAGGTTGCTGTCGACCCAACGACAGCCGCTCTGACAGCAGCCGAACTGGATGCATGTCGGACAGATTCTGTTTTCGCCGGGGGTTGCGCCTTCCCGGCTTCTGGCAGTTAGCACAGGGCGGGTGAGGCCTCTAGTTTTGGACATCTTCGGTCGGATAGAATAGACTGCGAGCATCGGCGCCCGTGATCGATGCTAAAGGGACCCCAATTCCGTTTGGGCAGGCTGCCCAAGGCCAGCCAATCCTCGTCCTCGAATGCCCCACACCGACAACATGTCTTGAGATTATCATCTTCGTCACGCAGATGGCCGAACCGTTCGGCCGAGATCTCCTGAGCAATTCGGCAGAATCCGGCAGAGGGTTATTGAACCGTTCTTGTTTGAGGGAGTGGCGCAAACTCGCAGAAGGAGCCCTGTAGACTTGCGTGGAAAACGCAGCTAACGAATTTGGCGCAGCAAGTCCAGCGAC